TTTGAAATCTTCTTTTCAGCTTTTTTACTTCAGCAAGTTTTCCTTTTGTTTTGGCTTCTCAACACTCAGTGCAATTTTTAGAATTTCTTCTGACATCCATTTTTATTTTTTCTTTCTCTTCTCTTTTTGTAATGACCTTTTGGTTTGTTCATGGATGATGTCCTTGATATCATCCCATAACTTACCTGGTCTTCAATCATTTGTGTTCAATGCCTCAAATCAATTCCTAAGATGATCTTTAAATTCAGATGGAATTGATTCAAGATCATCACTTGGTTCCTGTGGACTTACTTTAACTTTCTTCCACCTCAATTTAAACTTGCATGGTCTGACCCACAGTCTGCCCTGGTCTAGTTTTGACTGCCGATATTGAGCTTCTCCAGTGATTTCTTCCACAGATGTAGTCAATCTGATTCCGATTCACCCCATCAGGTGAGATCCATGTGTAAAGTCATCGTTTCTATCTTTTTTTTAATAATTTTAATGAATATTTACAGAGATTTTGGATTTCCATTCATTCATTGCTGCACTTCTCTCTGGCCCAGGCCTCCTCCTGCCCCTCGTTTCTATCTTTTAAAAAGAGGTATTTGCAATGAATAAATCATTGAAAATTCAATCATTCTATTTCCAGCCCCATTCCTATCACCAAGCCCACTATTAAGTATATAGCACTGGAAAAGCCTACAGTTAGGGACTTAAATAATGTTTAAAGAACCAAGGACCCTAAATTGTTGAATTACTTGTTTATCAAAAAACAAATGTCAATCATTAGAAAAGATTCTGCCATGATAAGCACCAAGCAGTTAGGGACCTCTCCAAACTACTGAAGAGTAATGATGTCCATTTGAGGACTAAGGTGCATCTGATTCAGGCCATGGTCTTTCCAATCACTTGCTATGTATCTGAGAGCTGGCAATGAATAAAGATGACAGAAGAATTAATGCCTTTGAGCTGAGGTGTTGGAGAAGAGTACTAAACATCCCATGGACAGTCAAAAGAACAAATAAATATGACTTGGAAAGGGCAGAGTGTTCTTTGGAGGCAAGAATAATAAGGCTTCACCCCACATATTTTGGGCATGTTGCTAGGAGGGCCTATTCCTTGGAGAGGGACATAATGCTAGGAAGAGTGGAAGGTAGGCAACAGAGAGGAAGGCTCTTGACCAAGTGGACTGATGCAATGACAGTGACTACTGCAATGGGCTCTTCTGTGTCAGGAAGTGTAAGGATAAGACAGGGTTCAGATCTGTTGTTCACAGGGTTGCTATGAATTGTATTTGACTTGACGGCACTTAACAACAACAAACAGGGGAAAGGGTAAAATAAATCATGTGGTGTTGCACTGGAATCAAATGCACTATGCTACCAAAACTCCCTTTAAATAACTCAATATTGTCAAGTTAGAACTGATTCACAGCTGACCTCGCAGATGGTTTTCAGATACTATAATTATACAAGAATATTGTCCATCTTTTTTTTAATAATTTTAATGAGCATTTACAGAGATTTTGGATTTCCACTCATTCACTGCTGCGCTTCTCTCCCCGCCCATCCCTCCCCCCCCCCAAGATTGTCCATCTTTATCCAGACGAGTATCTGATAGATTTGAACTGCCTGCCTTTGGGTTGGCAGCACAACTCCTCACCCAATAGGCTATAAGCTAACTCATAATAACTCATGGAGTTGTTATGTACCATCAAGTCAGAACAGACTCATAGCTGACCTCCAGCAGGTTTTCAGAAGCTATTAACTGAATGAAAGGAGACTGTCCATCCTTCTTCCTTTAAAAGGCTGTAATTTCAGGGAGCTCTGGTGGCCTAGTGGCAAGAAGCTGCACTGCAATCCGAGATGTGCCTGGTTCGAATCCACCAGATTCCCTGATGGAGAAGGAGGGACAATCTCCTCCTGTACCAGTAGTCGTATTTTATTTGATGGTACAATGCACAAAAAATAATTTAAAAAAAAAAGAAAACAAAAATAAAAGGCTGTAATTTCAAATTCAATGTGCCAGCCCTAGGAGCAGCCCCCTCTCTCAATCAGTTGTGAAGGAATTTTTTTTTATTCTTTCTGTATCTGTAGGTTCAATATTCTCTGGAAACCTTCACGTGTTCTCACTTACCCTGTTTTCAAAACACTTCACACAGGAGGCTGTGTCCAAAAACATTATTCCACTCCTGATTATTATTTCTCAGTGATACTGAGGTGTTCCTCTCCTAGCTGGCTTCCTCTGACCCTTTTTATCTCTACTAATTCCTCTGACCCTTTTTATCTCTACTGAGATAAAAGTTATCACTGGCCACACCCTAGGAAAACTAACCTTATGCCTGACTCTTCACATTTTACCATATTTCCTGTATTTGATAGGGTAAGAAATCATTCAACCTATGACAGAGTTCTTAATATACAATTCTTGGGAAATTTTAACAAGGAAAAAATATTATGGATTAGCATATACTGGTATAAACAGCTTAATAAATAAAGGAAAAAAGAAAAGCTCTTCCTTGCAGAATTCCAATGAATAAAGGTAGATGAATGGCTGCAATAGAAATTATTCTTTGAATGCCATTTGGTAAGCATCACAGTAATAATTTAATAAGTTAATACTCATTAATGAGTATAACAAAAAACTGAGAATTTGCACACTCTCAAAATATTACCTTAAAAGAAATACCAGGCAAGCTCTGGTGGCCTAGTGGCAAGAAGCTGCACTGCAATCTCAGAGGTACACAGTTCAAATCCACCAGATACTCTGCTGGAGAAGGAGGAACAATCTCCTCCTGTGTCAATCAGATGTGACTTGACGGTACACACAATAAAATAATGAAATAAAATTTTAAAAAATACTAATAATATAGCATAATATTCTTAATTTTATCATAGAAAACAATGGAAGGAAAGTCAATAGACATGTAAATTGAAGAAAATACTCTTACACCAAAGACAGGATCAGTGTTTTTATTATATGCAAAATAACATCAGTAAAATATTAAATAATATAAAATTATATTTGTACAAGACTATTCCCTGCACCCTTATTTGTAACAGAAAAGATTGTAAAGCAAACCAAACAAATAAACAAAGAAAAACACTGTCATCAAGTAAGTTCCTTCCACAGTGATCCTCCATAGGATTTCTGAGGCTATAAAATTTTACAGATTACTACTTGTCCAACTTTCTCCCCAAAGAGCTACAGGTGGACTTGGCCTTTTGGTTAACAGCTCAATCGTTATCTAATACATCTCCAGACTTAATTGTATTAAAATAGATTTTTAAGAACAGTTAAATTTTAATGAGGAAGTAGCAAATGCAGATTATGACAACTCTGTAGAAGGTTAATTTCTCTTAAAGGCACATAGTCGCATTAATGATAATTATAGTATTACTTTCTTATCCACTAAGAAACTTTATTCTTTAATTATAGACTTCCAAAATTTTTCTATTTTAAGATATACATATAAAAATGTAACATTCCAGGAGGGTTGGGAATAAAAAAAAATAATAATGTAACATTCCACTTTTCAGAGTAGGCTGTCAAGTATGAGCTCCAAAATCCAGTTGGCTTTTCCACATTCATCATAATCATGAATCCTCTCGACCGTGGGTCCTTTTATGTCTGCTTAGGTGTGAAGAATGGCCAAAGGCCTTTCCACAGTCCTTACATTCATAAGGCCTAATTCCACTGTGCGTCCTTATATGGGTGGTGAGGGATGAAGCCTGACTGAAGGCTTTCCCACATTCCTTACACTCATAAGGCCTCTCTCCAGTGTGAGTTCTTATGTGTGTAGTGAGAGCTGAGCCCTGAATAAAAGCCTTTCCACACTGCTTACATTCATAAGGCCTCTCCCCACTGTGTGTCCTTAAATGTGAAGTGAGGTGTGAAGAATAATTAAAAGCTTTCCCACATTCCTTACATTCATAAGGCTTTTCTCCACTGTGGATTCTTACATGTTGAGTAAGAAATGAAGCCTGAACAAAGGATTTCCCACATTCCTTACACTGATAAGGCCTCTCCTCAGTGTGTGTTCTTATATGTATATTGAAAGCAGAGGCCTGGCTGAATGCTTTTCCACATTCCTTACACTCATAAGGCCTCTCTCCACTGTGAGTTCTTATATGTTCAGTGAGGTGTGAAGAACACCTAAAGGCTTTTCCACACTCCTTACACGCATACGGCCTGGCCCCACTGTGAGTTCTTATATGTATAATGAGACTTGATGACTGACTAAAGGTTTTCCCACATTCTTTACATTCATAAGGCTTCTCTCCACTATGTGTTCTTAAATGTGTAGTGAGGGAAGAGGCCTGGCTAAAAGCTTTCCCGCAGTGCTTACATTCATAAGGCTTCTCTCCACTGTGAGTTTTCATGTGTGAAGTGAGGTGTGAGGAACAACTAAAAGCCTTCCTGCATTCCTTACACTCATAAGGCTTCTCTCCACTGTGTGTTCTTACATGCTCAGTGAGGTGGGAGGAACATGTGAAAGATTTCCCACACTCCTTACACTCATAAGGTCTCTCTCCACTGTGAGATCTTGTATGTTTAGTGAGGTGTGAGGAACATCTAAATGCTTTCCCACATTCCTTACATTCATAAGGCCTCTCGTCACTGTGGGTCCTTGTATGTGTAGTAAGGGATGAGGCCTCAGCAAAGGTTTTCCCACATTCCTTGCATTCGTAAGGTCTCTCCCCACTGTGAGTTCTTATGTGTGTGGTGAGGTGTGAGGTCTGGCTAAAGGCTTTTCCACATTCTTTACATACATAAGGCCTCTCTCCACTGTGAGTTTTCAAATGTTCACTGAGGTGTGAGGAACGACTAAACGCTTTCCCACACTCCTTACACTCATATGGCCTCTCTCCACTGTGAGTTTTCATATGTTCAATGAGGTGTGAGGAACGACTAAATGCTTTTCCACACTCCTGACATTCATAAGGCTTCTCTCCACTATGAGTTCTTTTATGTCTGGTGAGGGAAGCAGCTACAACAAAGGTCTTCCCACACTCCTTACATGCATAAGGCCTCTCCCCACTGTGAATTCTTACATGTGTAGTGAGGTGTGAGGCCTGGCTAAAGGCTTTCCCACATTCCTTACACTCATAAGGCCTCTTCTCAATGTGAGTTTCTCTATGTCTAATGAGGTCTGAAGAACAACTAAAGCCTTTTCCACATGCCTTACATTCATAAGGTATACCTATGTTATGACATTTTTTATGTAAAAAGGATGAAGGATGCTTATGTGGTTTATAACATTTTTTACATCCATTCTTACAACCTTTCACACATTTCCAATAGGATGAGAATTTACCGATATTTTTCTCAGATTCATTACATTCACCATTTTTCTCCCCAGTGATTCTTGCCACCAAATTCTTAAGTGTTGAAGCACAAATGAAGTCCTCCCCACATACCTTACATATATGTGATTTCTTTCCATTAATAGTTCCCACAGGACTCATTAGATGAGGAAGACAATTACAGGCTTCTCCACAATTCTTACAGTGACAGATACTGCACATCATGCGAGATCGTGAATGATGCTTATGTGACGACTGATCCATGAAATCCTCACCACATTCACAGCATTCAAATGAATTTGCTTCTTCAAGATTTCTTTTTATGAGAGGGAGATGAGGAATCCAGCTGGAAGTTTTATCACATTGACTCCCTTCATTATGTTCAAGGAGATTCTCAACTGAACTTCTGTTAAAAATAGGTAACATGCTGTTGGAAACAAATTTGTTTTCATTTCGTAAAATTCTGGACATGGTGAATGTGTGAAGACTTTGCCCCAATTTGTCTCATATATCACAGGTTAAGATGACAAACAGAAATACTGCCATTACTATCTTTATTTTGCTAAAATATACAGCTTTCTGGTATTTGTGCAAATATACTTGGTGTCTGGCTCACATTTACCAAAAAATGTTTAATTGTTCAAATTCCCTGGATACATAATTTTGCAGCTAGATTTATATATGTTGTTATCAGGTGCTGTTAAGTCAGTTCTGACTCACAAGGACCCAACACAAAAGAGAAGGACACAATGCCTGGATCTGTGCCATCCTCACAATTAATACTATACTTAAGCCCATTCTGTCAATCTACCACATTGGCAGTATTCCTTTTTTATGTTGATTATCTACTTTGCCAAGCATTATATAAATAAACACAAATGCATACATATCCATATATTGAAGTATATAATGTAATGATGCCCTAGGACTTTCTCCTGAGGCACTATTTTCTCACCATGAATGAACTCACCTCAAATCTCCCCTGTGATTTTCATGCTGAACTTTACTGGCACACAATACAGATATTTCTTCTAACATGCAGGACCAGCTCTTATTATTCGTCATGAATTGCCCCATTATATGTTCACTGGATAACTTTTCTCCATCGTTTAGATTCTGAGACACTGACCCAATAATTCAAAATGAGTTTTACAATATGAAACAAAAAGGCAATAATTAGGCCAAAAGGGAGTTGTTAAGAACAAAAAAAAAGATCTGTACAACATTTTTAATTTCACGATTTTAGAAAGCATTAACAAATCATTTACTAGGCAATATATTCATGAAGTCTGACAGTTGAAGGTGGAATAAACAGGTATAATTAAAAGGACTAAGTAGAAAGATATTAGATTCAGTACACATATAGAATTAAAAGAAAAAAGTATCTTCATGATCACATCCACGGGTAGTTGCTGAAGTTAGAAAAGGAGGTTCAAATATCTGTGGTTGTCTTCAACCCAAAGAAGTCTTTTTCTGTCTGAATGATTTAAATATTATTATATATCTCCACTGTTCCAGCTCCTCTGGGAAAACAAATGAGTACAGCTGGCATGGTGGTTCACAAAGAAATTACTATTATAAGATAGGCAATGTAGAGCAATGAGCATTTTCCTGGCACTAAGCCAGTATTTCAATCTTCAAGCTCTTTTAAGATGGGTAGTTTACTCACAGCAAAATAATTACATCTATTCTGTAACACATTAAAACTCTCTGTAAGGTCCCCCCAAAAAGTATCTTAGAGTTCAGCTTAAACTCAAAAATCAATGCTTAGACTTAAAACACTTAAAATGCTAGAAGTTTTTAATCACAACAGACATGAAAATGCACTTTCATACACTGACCATTATGTTTACAGGCAGCCGCAGAGCAAGGGACTATGCCTGTTTTATTTCATCATTTATTCCCATTCGTCAGCACAAGTACTGGAGCAAAGTCAATAGATAAAATAAGAGATACTAAAGTTTTTTCTCAATTTTAAAATGATGCCATTCTTACCTACTGAGGCCAGGTTTTTGAAGGTTTCCATCATCACATCTTTGTAGAGATTCTTCTGAACAAGATCCAGCAAAGCCCACTCTTCCTGAGTAAACACCACAGCCACATCTTCCATGACAACTGAATCCTAAAACAGCCCAAACATGTTTGATCAGCAAGATGCCACACAATGTGTACAAACTTAAAAGGGGAAGGCTGACTGTTCTGGGGACCTGAGAATTCACAACTATGTCATACCATGTCTGTCTTCTATTACTGTCTACAGTGTAGCCATCAGCTTACATTCACTTCCTCTTAATTGAATCTGCTGTCAAAGACAACCAATAAACTAAAATAAAAATTCTATAGTTTTTTGCTTTTTTAATTGAGATTTTAATGAAAGTTTATAGAGAACTTGGATTTCCATTCATCATTCATTGTTGCACATTTTCCTCCCTGCCCCAGTTCACTTTTCTCTTTAAAAAATTCTTTCAATGTACAATGCCCTCCTACCAAGTCCACTTTACTATGCAGCTCTTATTCTAGACTGTTGTTATGTAAAAAATATCTGATCATATATTCCTTTTAAGCAGTTCTTTCCCTCATCTGTTTCAATGCAATGTACATTATTTGTCCTCTCTTTTCTTAGTTTCCTACCAAACCCCATGTGAGTCCTGTTTTATAACAGTGGCATTATGCAGTATTTGTCCTTTGAAGTTTCATGGTGTTCTGTGATCGCGGGTAGCAAAAGGTAGAGACTCACAAGAGATGATTAAAAGTCAAAGAGCCAAAAGCTTCATCAGGCAATGGAGCTGTCCTGTTCTCTCTTTTATTACAAAAGCAGGCATAGCATACATAAAGAAAGTCACCTACATTTTTCTCAGGGTAAAGAAAAACAGGACACATTCTTACTGAAGTAAATTATCTTTGACTATTCAAAGATCTGTGTTCTTTCTCTTTTTCTCATCTCAAGAAAGCAAATGGAGGGAGCTCTAGTAGCCTAGTGGCAAGAAGCTGCACTTCAATCCCAGAGGTACTTGGTTTGAATCCACCAGATGCTCTGCAGGAGGAGGGGCAATTTCCTCCTGTATCAGTCAGATATAATTTGACCACGTTGTTGTTATGTGCCATCAAGTTGCATGCAATTCATAGAGACCCTATGTACAAGAGCCCTAAACGCCGTTCTATCCTGTGCCTACCTCGCCATCTCAAACACACTCATTCCCACCACTCCACTCACCGAGGGTCTTCCTCTCCTATGCTGTCCCTCCACTCTCCCAAACATAATGTCCCTCTCCAAGGACCAGTCCCTCCTTGCAACAAGCCCAAAATATGTCAGACGAAGCTTCAGAATCCTTGACTCCAAGGAGCATTCTGGCTTCACCTTCTCCAGGATGAACCTGTTTGTTCTCCTAGCAGTCCATGGTATATTCAACACTCTTCTCCAGCACCACAGCTCAAAGGCATCAATTCTCTTTCTATCACCTCTATTCACTGTCCAACTCTCCGATGCATAGCACATAACTGCAAAGACTATAGCCTGGATCAGGTGTACCTTAGTCTCCAGCCTGACATCAGTGCTCTTCAGTACTTTTGAGAGGTCCCTCACAGCTGACTTTCCCAATGCAATTCATCTTCTGATTTCCTGGCTGCTGTTACCAAGAGTGTTGACTCTGAAGCCAAGCAAACTAAAACTGTTAACTATCTCAATCTCTTCATCATCCATACTGATGCTGCCAATTGGCCCAGTGTGAAAATCTTTGTTTTCTTGATGTTGAGCTTCAATCCATATAGGAGTCTATAGTCCTTGACTTTCTGCAGCAACCACTTCAGGTCCTCCTCAGTTTCAGCAAGCAGGGTTGTGTCATCTGCATAACGCAGGTTGTTGATGATTCTTCCACGAATCCTGATGCCACATTCCTCCTCGTACAGCTTAGTGTCTCAGATGATCTGTTCTGCATAGAGATTGAAAAGGTATGGAGACAGACTACATCCCTGATGGACCCCTTTCTTGATTTTGAACCATCCAGTGTCTCCCTGCTCTGTTCTGAAGACTGCCTCTTGGTCCAAGTATAGGTTTCACATTAGCATAATCAAATGTCCTGGGATTCCCATTCTTCTCAGAGTCAACCATAGCTTGTGATCCACACAGTCAAAAGGATTTGACCATACCCACAAAAATAATAAATTTTTTTTTAAATTAATTAAAAAGAAATAAGGGGTTTTTTTAAGAAAGCAAATGGATAAGTAAGTCTGATCCAAGGAAAGGCTGTTTGCACATGTCTGTCCCCCCACTCCTACATTCAGGAGATCTTGTTAGCAAGAACTCCTCTGGTTCTTACCCTTTTGGGGTAAGTCACTCAGAAGAGTGCTGACGCAGAATAGTTTTTAGAACTAAATCTGAGCTGTTTTTATCCCAGATCCTCCTAAAGAGTCTCTGATTTTCCAGGGCCTCAGGTGTTCGTGGAACATTTCTTTGTACAGCAGACTTCTTGTTCCTCACCCTTCAGGGATCCTTCATTTCCCCCTTTTTGTTTTTGCTGAGTCTTATGAAGCATGAGCGAGAACACAGCATTTTCTTTCTTTCCTCTATTTGCCTTGGTGGAGTTTTGCTAAGACTAAACACAAAAGAATAACAATAACTAAGATCCCCAAAATTCTCAGAGTACTTTTAATTAATGATTTGATATTGGTTATAGCATTCATGGCTTGTATACTGTCTGTCATGCTCTGAGTAAAATCATTACCACTCAATAACCTCAATTGCTCTTGATATGCAGAAGAGATTTGTTTCTACAATTGTAAAATCTCACCAGTAATATACTTATTCTTGTATTTTTACGTTTTATATTTTACTGAAATTATTAAATTGCATGAGCTCAAAATTATTGCCATATTTTTTTGGGGGGGGGCTTTCACTCCTTCATTGCTGCACCATTCTCTCTACCCTCCTCCCCAGTTTGTTCTTCTTCCCCGCCATCCGAATGTCTGTTTTAATTGTCCAATTGCCACAGTGCTTGTCAAAGCCAGTTCTGATTAATCTTCTTTGTCGGTGTGTCCTTTGCCATTCCCTATCACTCCTCCCTGAGAGAGACT